TATATATATATATATATATATATATATATATATATATATATATATATATGTTGACACATACGAATTCAGGTAAATAAAGAAGACATCGAATAGTAGGCCATTCTGTGTTGAGTTTATCTTGTTACTCAGGGAATTTTTATGACGCTGGTTTCGAAAGTACATCATAAAGTATGTTTTTATTGGGGAATTTGACCTACCAGCCAGTAGGAAAGCACGTTAAGGTGGTGCATAGTGGACCAATGGGAAGCTAGAACCAAAGAAATATTCAGATCTAATCCATGCTATTATAGCGTACAAAGAATTTTTTCTCCCATTTTGGTAATATTTAATGACTTTTGAAGTCCCCATCAAAATCTAATCGGCTTTTATTTCACATCAAGCTTCAAGTAAGGCGCTCTGTAATGAACCATTATCTGGGTCACACTTTCCACTCTAACTCACTGACAATCAAGCGAACAATTTGAAATAGTAAGGTAGAAATAATTCCTTTCCGCTATAGGATTTAAAAGTTCGAATACACGAGGAGGTGCTTTTCTGTGGGTCTAAAAAGAGCATATCGTTGGGCGATCGAAAATCACTTTAAATGATAAATTCCATTCATCGTCTTCTCCAGCTAAAATAATTCTCCAATACTTTTTCTAATAACGATTATTTTTTTATTATTTGTTCTATGCAAAAGGCAAGGTGAAGGCATGATCTCAAAGAAGTGGGCATTACTGAGTGCGAAAGAAAGGTAGGCGGACGAATGGCGGGTGATTGGAAAATTTGGCCTCTATAGAATGATTGAATTCATTTGGCTGCAAAAACTTACTACACACTAAAGAAATCATAATTTTGTTCATTATTGGTTTTGCAGAAAAGGGTGTGGGATAGACTTACCCCCATGTGGTGCACCCCGGGAAACGTATACTCATACGGAAATAAAGTCTATTAACCGGCAGTTGACTTCAAACTACCATGACTCCGCTGTATGTCATATTTGACTACTTCCACATTACTCGCCTCACCTTTTTTATACCTTTGTGTCTGTCTCTTTATTCCATCCCCCCCCCCTCTCTCGACTTTTTTTCGCTTTGATGTTCCTTCCCCTCTGTGGGGCCTGAAGTCCACTAAAGGGCTAATGATAACTATCAAAACGCCTGCCATTTGATATAAATAAAGTTTGCAGAGATGGATAGAAAAGGCATCAAAGTACGCTTTGGTTTGACCTTACGTATCTTGTCATTTCATCCGAGGGTAGTTACCAATTTCAAGGTACTCAAACCTACCCAACTCCTATTTGAATTTAAAAACATTCGAGATAAATATTAAGTCCACTGCACCTTCAAACCAAATGTTCAGTAACCTCCATTACCTTCTATCGATTTCTGATTTTGAATGAATTAAAACATGCCAATAGATTAGAATAATTTGCTTTATCATTTACAACCTTCATCAGCAAGCACTGTTTAAAATTATTCTATTTTTTGCTTTAAAAAATAAGCGTTCACTGAAGCAAAGTGAGCATATGTCATAAATTATCAGATGGTAACCAAAACCTTGGGCTTCAATAAGTGGAGTCTTCCATTTCGAGCACCCATGAAAGTATACTTGGAAGTAGTAAGTCAGTTGTAGATTTGGTGCTATGATTGTATACGTAACAAGGTAATGAAGGGCCCTCTTGAGTAAAATGTAGTTATTTAGAGTTTTAATTAGGGAAATTAATGAAAGTAAATACAATAAATAGGGAATGTCAAAAGGATAAGATTGGTCATCTGAAATAGTGAGTTTTAGAAAGTTATCACTTCTACAGAGGGGGGGGGGAGTGTGCGAGAGATTTACCTCCACGTGGTGCACTCTGGCAACGTATACTTAAACGCCAAAAAGTCTACAATCCGGTAGTTAACTTTAAACTACCACGAACCCACTGTATGTCATATTCCACCATTTTCACTTCCATAGTACTCACCTCACCCTTTTTCTCTACCTTTGTGTCTGTCAATCTCTTTTACATCTGTGAATAACTCTTCTGTTCCTTCCCCCCTCTCTACGTTTTTTGACTTTGATGCTCCTCCCCTTCGTTAAACCCGAGGTCAACTAAAGGACTAATGATAACTACCACAAAGCCTATCATTTGATATATAACAACCCCCCCCCCCCTCCACTACTACACTAGACCTCATGAAATGAACTTCGTCGACCATTCTTGTTGCCCCTGTTGTTAGAATTCTGAAAATAATTTCAAATAAAGGACAAAATTTAATGTCGTAGCACTAAACTTCCACGAAGGCGAGGTGAATCACTTTTCCTGTTTTGTATCTCCTTTGCCTGTCTAAACAGTCCCTGTTACCACAGAACACTAAGATCTGATCAAGTTAAGTGATCTCTCTCTCTCTCTCTGGCGTCTTTTAAGCCTTTGCACCTACTTCCCAACAAGTAAACGAGGATTCTCCCACCTTCCAGACTCTCGCCCCACCTTTTCCTCTTTTTGCTATTATGTCAGAACCTGATGAGGAAACAAACAAAAATAACAAGTAGAGCTTGCTTCTAATATAGTTACGCATATATTTTCAAAAAAGACCCAAATAGACGCATATATACGTATGCACAAAAAAACATACACATGAAGATGAGTCCGAGAAGTTTCCGATGATGTTGACACAGTTCACCGAAGTGGAGCACGCTTCACGAAAAAATTACATACAGCGATTAGGAATTAGGCGCTTACACATGAAGATCTTATTACAATTAAAGAATGACATCAATTTGTGCATTTTAAGACACACAGAGGCAGGAAGGCAGGCGAGGCAGGAGAGAAAAAAGCGTTTCTGCAGTTTTTATTTTTATGAAAAGAAAGAAAATTATTCATCCGGGGGGAGGAGGAGGGGCGGGGGGTGGGAGGGGAGAAAAAAAAGAAGCAAATTGACCTTGTTTTTTGTACTACTGTGTGTGAAATGATAATAATAATACGAGAGGAGGGGGGGGGGGGGGGGGGGGGTGATTGTAGGAAACTAGCGGCTTCTCAATGATGATATTATATATATATATATATATATATTCAACATCTATTTTTTCATTCCAGACTGAGGCGCATGAGAAACAGAAAGGGAGACGTAGAGAGGAAGAGAGGGGGAGATCAGTACCTAATCGCATTGGCTTAATCTGCTGAAGTTAAAAAAAAGAGGAGAAAATGATTGGATGAAAGTAAATGAAAGGATAAACTAAAGAAGTGGTGAGGTCTGGGTCTGTGGAAGACAGGAGACGAAAAGGAATAATGATGACGGTGACGTATGCGTCGGATTATGCGTGGCGAGCACCTCGGTGGGAGTTGCGCCGAATGCTTCCTCCAGTGACTGGCCGCTTCAGTTTGTACAGCATGGCTCGATTGAGTTTTGGACCTAGATAATAAAATTGGGATTGGCACTTTACAATAGGCGGATTTTCTTTGCATCCAGAAGACAAACAGACCCCTATCATTATCTTCCATTTTGAAAAGTTTTACAACTATTACACACAGTCATGTCTTTTGGGATGAAAACACCCTCAAAACAACATCAAGTTGGATTATTTAAGAAGCTTCCTTCAACCATTATTTTACCTAATTTCAGCTAAAAAGCGATATGCCTTGACTATGGATCGATGATTCTCCAATTAGTAAAACATTTTTTATTGCATTCAGCACATTGACAGCATTCCAAACAAGAGCAACATACTGGGTGGCTAATCTTTTAAAATGTCTATAAGATGCTCGAGAGTGTTAAGCAATGAGACAAAAGGTGTCGATTCCACCAAGGCAGATACGTAAAGTGATTTCTAAACGCTATTTGGACGAAAAGAGACAATAATTAACTCTCTTGACCAGCATGTGACACTGGACAACTATGTGGGGCAAAATAAAATAAAAAACACAAACCTTTTGTTTGGATAATAAATAAAAGTATTGACAATGAAAAGGAAAAACTTGCCGAAATAGCTGAGCTGAACCGGCAAAAATATAATGCCAACCACTGCTCCAAAAAGTACCATACAAAGGTACATTCTGAAGTAGAACACCTGGAAGAGTCGTGATTTGGCGAAGCCCAGCACCACGATACCGCCAAACTTGGTTAGAGTGATACCTCGAAGTACCTAAATAGAGATATGTGCGTGAACGAATTTATTATTGACCGAAAAAACATATTCTTTAAATCAATAGAACGCTTACCGAGCTGCCCATTTCAGAGAGCGCATCCAAAGACCTTTCCACGCGGGTCGCTTTTGTGCTAATGGCGAAGGAACGGACAATATGGGCACAGAATTCGACTGATATCCCAATGCACTATAAAATGAAATTGATTACAATTTAGCAAAGTAGTCAAATAGCAGACTGGGTATTCAAAGAGAGAGAGAGAGAGATCACAGGAACTCACCACAACAAGGTTGACCAGGGAAATGGCATTGAGAGAGATATTCCAGAGTCCCATCATCGCGGCTACAGAGAGAACAATAGAGCCCACACCAACCACTACATTCAAAGTGGCGACCACATCCAGACCCAACATAACCCAAGTAATAATGGATACTGAGGTCAATCCCAGAGTCACCTGAATGAGTGTCTCATTTACAATATTCAAGTATTGCTCATAAAAGACGTAGAATACGCTAAAATGAAGGGGAAAAAAGAACTTTAGAACCGTTAAATGCATCGTTATTTACAAGAGAAATGCTAGTAAAATCGTCCGCATGAACGACCAATTTTTCATTTGTTTAAAGCCTTCGATTTGTTTATTGTCTAAGTCCATTGAATGGTCACTTACGCACCTGTAACTCGTACGAATTTGAGTTGAGTGGTTTGTCTCAGTGATGCCACTCGTAAGGACAGGTGAAATGGACAAAAATTGTGGTGTTGGAATGTGAATATGAAGGTGTGATTGTAAAGGCGGGGAAAATAGTTTAACTCTGTGCCACAGTATTCATTTCAACTCATACTTATTGAGTGGAAGCTCAATTAAGTATTTACTAAATCTAAACTCCAATGGATATTCAATTAACATTGAAAATCGAGGAGATAAACAAATTTATTCTAATTTTGATTTTTTCAAGAATTACTATTTAGCGCAAGTTACGTTTCGCAAAATTCCTTAGGATCTTTGGGGAGACCCATTTTCCAACAAACATAGGGATTTGAGGGAGGATAACAAAGAACCACATAGAGGAGAGGCACGAATTTGGCCATAATTCATATTGGCCAGATATAACCACTGAGTGCCCATTAGGTGTAAAACAGATGCGTATCGACGGGACTTTGACTGGCGACTTTTAATTAGGCAGACATGCGTAATAATCAATACGCCAACAATGCACATCACAGTTTGTAGTAGTTTGTTTACCTATAAGGGAATACAGAATTTGGTTGAGGTCCTTTGGGTTTCGAGAGTAATTTAGAAATTGAGTCCGTCATGGTCATATTAGCGCCAGCAAGTTTGTCCTCTTTCGCCCACCGAGGACCGAACTCATCGGCCAATTCGCGGGATTTTCGAATGGCTTCAATAAAGTCTTCGGTGGTGCGAAGAACGGTGTGATGAACAGTGAAATGGGAAGTGAGGACGCGGGGAGTACCATCACTGGCATTGCGTGAAAGGACCACTGCTGATCCATATTGAGCCTTGCCTCTTCAAAAGTAAAAAAAGCACCTTAAAGCATTACTGATCTGATGTTTCAATGTGCTTCACGAGCTATGAAGTAGCTGCTGTGTCTCCTGAAGTGTTTCATTACTCATCAACTTTGGCTGGAGAATTTGCAGTTATTTAACCTGAATCGCCATGTCTGTCGTTTGATTATTTGTTGTAATACTGACCCCCCCCCCCCTTTAAATATGTTCTTGCATTCCCCTGCTAATCCATCCCACATGGCTTTTGTGAGCGTTCTTTCGCTTACAGGAGGTTGCTTGAGTACAGACGACAAATTCTCTGAGAGGTATCGTAACTAATGTCTACTATTGAAGTCCTAAGGGAATAATTCGATCCACTTCAAAGATATGCTCTTCAACGCTCAACTTTCATTTCAAAAGGCATATTATTTAAAAATTGTTACAAAAGTATAACTTGACCTCATCATATACAGAAGACTAAGCTAAGATGTAACAGGCCTCAGGCAAAAAAAGAGCGATATGGGAAGATATTATGAAAGCATATCCTTACGCATATGGACAATCAGCAGAAGGAATACGAGCGAGGAAACTGGGGATGAGATCGTCGAATGGCTGTCCGATGGGGCTACCATTTACAAGGGGACAACTTTTGCAGGTTGAGTTCTTAATGGGGTCGCAGAAGACAGATGGATTGTTAGCTTCAATACCACAGCATTTAGGATATCTGCTCCAGAGTGTGTAATCATCCACCCAAGACATTAGCGGATCTGATAGCCTGTGACTTGAAGGAATACAAGAATTAGATTTAAATTAAAAATTCGGCCTATTTTATTGATAGAAATGAAGGAAAAATTATGTGTGTATAATTAGAACAGCCGACCACAGAGATTAATAGCCATGAACAAGAGGCGACGGGGGAATTAGACGCTAAGACGTCAAATCTTATCAATTTCTTTTCGCACATATTCACGCTTAGGAGGATGCGCGACGGACTTTGCTCCAGGTTGTGAACTCTGGGCAAAGTATACTCATAGGGTAAAACAGTCTATAAAATGGCAGTTGACTACAAACTACCATGACCCCACTGTATGCCATATTCCACCATTTTCGCTTCCACAGTACTCACCTCACCTTATCCCTTTTTCTCTACTTTTGTGTCTGTCACTCTTTTACACCTGTAAATAACTCTACTGTTCCTCCCCTCTCTCTCTCTCTCTCTATGTTTTGTGACTTTGATGTTCCTCCTCCTTTCTGTAAAGCCCGAAATCAACTAAAGGGCTAATGATAACCATCAAAACGCCCACCATTTGTTATAAATATTCACACTTGAAGTCATTAAACGAAATCTCTTAAAGCATAAAAGAAAATCTATGGCCCATGAGGGGGTAAGTTTGCAACATTCACCTCTGCTTTTAAGGTTAAGGAAACACACACAATAAGTTTGATCAAATAATGAAATAAATGAGTCGCAATGCACAGAACAGGTGTGTCCATAATCTTGATTTCCCATGGGCTAGCATATAAAAGCGCGTTTAAGTAAAAGGTCGGTTTAAATATACATAAACACCGTGAAATCGCTGGAACAAGCGGTTAAAAAGTGGTGCAAGTCAATAAGCCTGAAAACAAGGAATCCAAAGATTAAAAAAACTTGGTCCAGTGGTTTCATGTATTCGATAGCTTTTAGCGCAAGATAAGTTCATATAACCGCAAAAAATTGAGCACCAAATTCAAACAAACCAGCTAGTTCTCCCCCATAAAATTTTTTTTGCTAGGCAGTGTTGCGGCGAATGATTTTCACACCTCTCGGGTCGGGTGACCAGTCATAACTTACTTAAACAATTAGATAGTAAATTAACTTCTTGTGAATAGAAAAGTCCAAAATGTGAGTAATTAGGCAATCAAAATGCCCTTTGCTAGTTAAAACACTTGTAACCTCATTCATAAAGAAAACTGAAAAAAAAATTTTCCCCACATTCACTGTTTGCCCATAGGATACTTTTCCTTTTATTATTTAGACTGGTTTATGGTAGGACTTCAATAGACACCTAACCAACATTATATAACTCCTGGCCGAGAATATTACCTCTGAGATCTCCCAAGAAATTATGACATCTTTCAAACATTTCACACGTTTTATAATCAGCAAACTAGGCTAGAACTGTTTTTTTAAAACTTAACTCACATCTGAAAGGGTAAGTGGATGAAAGCAGTAGCTTTGTAAGCATAGCCAAACGCTTTAGTAATTTAATTAAACGAAAGCATTAGTTTTTAAAAAAAAGAAGAATTAAATTGATTAGCCCAATAGATGGTACAATTTTCGAATCAGTTTACCCTCCGATAAATGTAGCAGGAGCAAAGCTTTGGTTCCAGGCAAATCTACCCTTTACAACAAAATACTTTAGAATGCTATATCAGAAATTTAGTATCACAAGTAGAAAAGGTGAAAGAAAGATTATCGCTTTCGGAAGAGATGAAATTTAATAAGTTTGTGTTGGTTAGTGAAATTCGATTGAAATATAACTTCGCGAAAATTCGATGCCTCAAGTTGCGTTTAGAAAAAAAAATAACAAAAAATGGTGACCAATTGAGCAGAATTTATTTAAAAAAAATATAAGTAAAAGAAGTTCGCTACTGGGTCATTAAGTACTCTGACACCGGTATATAGGGCATTTTGAATTGCATACATTAAATGGAAAGCAGTATACTTAAACACAAAGACGGCAATAAAGAGATACTTTGGCTTTACTTGGAATTCAGCTAACGTATCGACAGAGGATAGCCTTGATTAAAACAATGCTTAAGTAACGTTTCATAGGTGTTGATTAACAAGTTAGCTCTATGTTTCGCCCAAAGGGAAGAATAGTAATCTTCTGAGGAGGATAGATACAATCTTTCAAACGTGTGGACTTCTTGATAATGAGATCATTATTTTGTCAGCAAATGATTTAGAACTAGAGTGTGGCATGTAAGATTTCAAGAAAAATGAATAATTCGTGCCGGCGTTATATCCACTAGGCTGATTTTCAATAGAACTGAACACCCTCAGACACCTCAAGCCAAAGAGAGCTTAAAGACAATGAAGCCCAATTAGTGCAGTCTTAACTTTTGAGAATCAGGTTTATTAAATTTCAAATTACCTTGCTATGTAAACAAATCTACTACTGAAATTTATATATCTTCCGCTTTATCCTGATTATAAATACAATAAAAATAGCTTACTCTTTAGAGGCTATGCTCTTCTTTAGTGTTCGAACAAGAGAATTCGGATTGCAATCCTGTCGAGAGCAGACCTGATTTTGTCCATGTGGGGTTTTGAAATTGTGTCCCTCCGTGACCACAAAGTACACCGGAGGTCCGACTGCGAGCAATGAGGAAATCGCCTCAAAGTACTCCAGCACATAGGAGTCCAAGGACATGGAGAGCTTTTGATCAAGACCAATTTGAACTCCACCCGGAATAATAGCAATGCAGAAGCAAATCCAACCCATGAAGAGAATAAAGAGCAGGGGTCGAACCCATTTGGAGAGAATGAAAGGTGCGAGAACATGGGCAACAAATCGGTAGAGCCAGGGTTTGGCATTCTTTCCTGTTAATGATCAAAGTAAACTAATTAACTGATTGGAATGTAAATGGCATATGAATCAGAACGATATACGGTTAGGAAGAAGTCAATAAAACGGAATAACTATACTATTTAAACGCAAAACATGTTCTCGCTATTTGTTTAACTATTTACTCCTGATACGGATGAATGCCAAATCAGTGCCAGAGATTATGAAGACACGATCGAGAACTTCAAATTAGTCCTCAGCAGCGCACAGCAGATGTGCGAATTCCGCTTTATACTCATATTCCTTTCTTTCACTACTATTTGCGTTCAGACAAAAATCCATTTAATGATAGACCACTTGCTCAAATGAAGATCTACTTTTATAATTAAAAACGATCAGCATACGACAGGACTTTTTAAGTTTCCGAATCCTTATGGGCTACTAAACTGAGCCTGTTCAAATCAATATTGTGTAACTATGTCAGATTAAAGATTTAACTTATTAAATTAGCATTTATATTCTGCCCTTTAGTCAGAAGCCTGATGAAGGGAGAAATTGGAAGAGAAAGTGAGCGGACATTTGCCTGCTTCCATGTATTGGAGGATAATCATCCCTTAGCCACGTGGTGGGTAAATTAAGGGAAAGTAGATTTAACCGATAGATTGAGGCTAAAATCCTCCAACGACGAAATAGCCTCAATCAAGTAGCTAGATGAAGTAGTGTCGAATGGTTTCCAAACTCTTAATGTAACAGAAATTCATTTTGGATTTATCGCGTACTACGCTACCCCACAATCAAAAAAACAACCAATCTATCAGTTGCCATAAAGGGATTTCAGTCAGGTTTGAACAGGTTGCAAGAACAAAAGCAATCACTGGAGGTGGAAGCAACAAGTGCTAAAGAACAGTACACAACTCCTTGAATTGTGAAGCATTCAGAAAGTAATCGACCATCAAACATCATACCTCTAAACTCCACTAGTTTTCCTTCTTTTATTCGAAAGTCAATTAAAAGTAGGAAAGTGTCTCTTTAATTTACAAATAATTATTTAGCAGTAGAACAGTAACAAAACTGTGTGTGCTATTTCTAAATCATGCTACAAGATACATTTTGAAAAACGAGAAGTCTGCTAAGTTGCAGATGAAAAGTTCGCATTTCGGGGGAACTCACTTTTACTCTTTCGCCGATTTCTAAGGTTTCCTGACTCCGGCCCCGAAACTTCCTCCTCTTCATCAGATAAACTTTCATCAGGGAAAACCATTTCCACACAACAACACAAGTCCAGTCTGTTTGCCTAAATAAAACAAAAAAAACAGAAAATATTAATGTAAATGTAGAAATATAAGACGAATTTAAGGTTATTAAGAGAAATAGAGTCAAGTGACGCTCAGATGTATATACGCAAGAAAATAGAAATGGGGAGGGAGAGATTGAAGGTATTTTATGAGAAGGCTAAC